ATTATTAGACAAATTTTAAAGCTGGAAACTTAATTTATAAATTGAGATTTTTACAATATTAGGTTAAAAAAATATTTTTATAATTGTTTATGATTTAAATGAGTTATTTGGGTAGAGGAAAATTGTTATTTGAAGTAAGAATTTTTCAAGTAGTAAATATATGTATATATATTAATAATAATAAATCTTATGTAATTTAAGTTATTTATTGGTATGTATATTAAATTGTATCTACATTATTTGTAGATTATCCTGTACTTTGGAGTCTGTAATTTATTCTCTTATTTCTCAAATTGTGAGGTTAAGCTTGGAGTAGAGGTAACTGGGGTTAATTTATTTATATAAATGCCTTGGGATTGTAAGGTGTTTATTATGTTTTATTTTCTCAAGTTAATTTGTGTGAAAGTATGCCTATGAATAAAATATATATTTTATTATATGACAAATTTGGTGAAGTGGGAAGTATGTTAATTTAATTATGCTTGAGTTGTGTTTTATTAGAAATTATGTTTTCTTGTAGTACTGAATTTAATATACTAATATTATGTTATTAAATGAAATGAAAATGTGTATACTTTATTTGAAATTATATCATCTTACTTTGAAGATTATGATATTTTGGTTTATATTGTGACTATGCATGGGGTTCATAGTGGAGGATGGGATTTTTGTTATGTGGAGGATAATTGTTCTTGAAGCTCGCGCGGCAGGCCTACACTACGGATCCCAATGTTTGGCCTTTTTGTTAGATCCCTGTAGTTCTTCTTTTTCCTTGGCCCGGAATTGAGAATAAACTCTTAGACAGACACCTGTTGCACCATAGTCCATTCTTGGGCGCGTGTAAGTACAGGAGGGGGACATTGCTTGATGTGAGTGGCGTGACCTTTGGCAGGGTTACTCAGCACAAAAAGCCGGGTCCTTGTTAAGGAGTCATAAGGAGAAGCAAGGTGATGAGATGACATATTTCATTATGTTGTGGTAATATATACTTTTATGAATTGTGTTGTGGATGGTGAGATATACTCTTTTTATGTGATTATATCTTAAAAGTATTATTTATTTCTTAAACTATATTTAAGCACTACTTCGCCAACTTGCCATCCTACTTATATATGTCATAAATTAATACTTGGTTATTCGGACTTTACATCTCACCCCACTATTCATCAATGCTTTTCAAAAGAGCCATCCAGTTTGGCTCAGCGCGAAGGGAAGCAACCAAAGGCACAGGCGAGTATAGCATAATAGTCTCTTTTTGGTTAGGCATGTAATGTTATGTATATTGCTATCTTAGAGCCTACGATTGTGTTGACATATACTCTCTTTGTTTGGAGACTGTATTGATGAATGTTGTTAAAATGGCTGAAGGCCATAAGACTCTGCTATGTGCAATACTCTTATGTGTATGACTTGTGGGTTAGGTTGAGCACCCTGTGTTTCTTGTGCCCTAAGTCTGTGTGGATGAATGTTATATTGGGGTTGTGGGCAGTTACTGTGCCCTGAGGCCTTGTCTGCGTGTTGTTAACCTATGGGTGTTTTATGTATCATGAGCCTCTTAGGATGTTTTCGGAATAAGTCAAATCTTTATAACCATAGTAGTATTTAACGCTCTAACTCTATTCTTTTTCTACCATGGTTATCATTTTAAAAATGGTTTTATAATTATGTATTAAGAAGAGGTCTTTTCAACACGCGGATCCCCTAAAATGATTTTAAAAATGATTGATTATCACTTAAATAATGATGATAAATAATGATTAAGTTTTAAAAAAGGGAAATCCCAAAAAAGGTCCTTGGAATATGGAAAATGCCAGATTGGGTCCTTAAATTTCGAAAATGACAGAATGGGTCATTGACCCAATCTGTCATTTGTGTGAAATTCAGGCAAATTGACAATTTGCCCTCATTATTCATTCACTACAATGATTCAATGAATCACTATAAGAGTTAGGTGTTACCTAGATTCGTGTAGCGAATAACTACTCACTTTTTCATAGTTAGGTATTTGTATTAACTACAACACTAATTCTGTAATCACTAGAACAATGTAAGCATTACCTAGATTTGTGTAGAGAAATAACTACTTATTTTTTTATAGTCAGGTATCTTATTATTGTCAGGTACCTTATTATTAACTACAACGAATCTTGTAATCACTAAAACAGTGTAAGCGTTACCTAGATTTGTTTAGAGAATAACTACTCACTTTTACTCAGGGGCAAAAATGTCAATTCGCCTGAATTTCACAAATGATAGATTGGGTCAATGACCCATTCTGTCATTTTCGAAATTTTAGGACCCAATCTGGGATTTGGTATATTCCAAGGGCTTTTTCTGGGATTTTCCCTTTAAAAAATTAACAATAAATAATGATTAAATTGATATGAAAAAAATAAAAATTAATTTAACTTACAAATAAAGACTTTTAGTATTTTTTACCCCAAAAAAAAGACTTTTAGTATCATGTGTCCACATGTTATATTGGTATATTCACTTCTTCTTGAATTCATTGAACGTCTCATTTGTCTGCGTGGTTGGCGTAACTGTCCCATACTAAAAAGTGAAGTTGTCCTACACAGTAAGTCTCACACTAAACTTGTTTTTGGTAAGATAGAGTTATTCAATTTTTAATGTAACACCCATTGAATTCGTTCTTTGTAAGAATAAATTTTTCAATGAATAATTTAAACCTGATCACCACCTGAACGATTTCGAAATGTAACATCTCAATAAATATTTTCCATGCCATAGCATTTGAGTAAAATAAAGTATGTGAATAAAAAAGCCGAAGAACCACGATTAGTTATTAAATAATTTTTTAAAAGTTGACAGTTAAAAAGTATTTTCATTTTGGATTTTATAGTATTAAGATAATTTTCTTAATTAGAAAAAAATAAAAATATTTTTGAACGGTTCAAATACCGGTGACTATTACTTTGATGTAAAAACAAACAGTTATAGCTGGACTAACATAACTTAATAATAAATTTAAAAAAATCGGTTATAAAAGTTGAAAACATATTACAAATCAATCCATTATAAAATATAGAAGTTTTTGAACTTAAATATTTTGTAAAAATTAGAAAAATAAGTCATATAAAAACAAAATATTGGTTATAATAAATTATAAAAGAGTTTTAACTTTTAACTAAGAAAATAGAAAGTATAACGTAAATTGTAAAAACTTAGCTGAAAATTATTAATAGCTCAATTAGAGGACTTAAAAAATTAACTAACTAATATAATGCATAATTAATATATAAATAATATTTTGATTTTTTATATTTAAATCTTTTAGTTTTTACATCTTGTACATCCGCAATCAATTTGTTTAATTGAGTACGTTGGTCTGTCAAATGAAACATTAGTTGCTCCTGCAATCAATTCTTTAAGTTTAATTGTACTGATTTGATTTGAATATATGTCAATTACCAATGGAAGATAAAAGTTGGGTCTAGTAAAAATAATTATTTTTCTACAAATATAATGAACTAAAATTTGAATTCTCCGTATACCAACTACGCAAATAAATGAGACATTTGATCAAACTTAAAAAGTGAATATACAATAAAAGCCACAATATATGTGGGGAAGAACAAGATGTGCTACTGAAAATCTTTATTTGCTAGGTAAATTAATTTTTATTTTTTATTCATATCAATTTAATCATTATTTATTATTTAATTTTTAAAGCCTAATCATTACTTATTATCATTATTTAAGTAATAATCAAATTACTATTAAAATCATTTCAGGAGATCAATGTGTGGTGACAGGTTATAAAAAAATTGTTAAAGAAGTGATGAAGTTTAGAAGTTGTTTACGTCAAAATTCAATTACACGGAAAAGGATGATTATTGAAGTATTTTTGCTTAAATAAATTTTAAAAGTTGTTTAAACTTTGAACAACTTTGATGGAAATTTTTTTTTACTATTTACAAGGTATTAGTAAAAAAATCGAAAGAGATCTCCTTACCCTTCGTTACAACACCCTCTGTCCCTCGCTTACTCGTAGCCCGCCTCCCCTGCCTCATTCCCCTCGCACAGTCGTAAATGAAGAATCCCCAATTTCGGAGACAGACGCAGACTCACTCAACTCACGCAGTCTCCATTGTTAAGTAACAGAAGGACACTCATGTAAAGGAGATAGGCGGCAAGTGCCATGTTTACCTGTCGACTTTCGGCGAAAGTGAGGACTTTCAGAGCTGCTCATGCACATAAATTTAGGCAGGGTTGAGAGGAATTGGTTCGCGGAGCTTCGAGTTGTTGACAAAAAGATTTCAATTATATTTTGCTGACTCCCATTAGAAAAAGCTTTGAATGAACTTTTGGCTTGCTAGTTCTAGGTTAATGGAAGTTTTGAACAAGTGCTGGTGCAATTAAAAAGAAAAAAAGTGGCGGCCATGGAAAACTGATGAGCCCAAAGTCGGAAATTTTGATGATCACGCATCAATAACCAGAGTCCCATATGACCGGGGAATTTCATCGACAACCATTCAATCCAGGAAAAACAAAATAAAACCCCAAATCCTTCTTCCAACACAATGGACCTGAGGGGAGTGGGGAAGGAGTGTAGGACTGTGAGAGAGAGAAGGCGTCGTGGCAGGGTGGCAGGGGGGAGAGCGTGTGAGAACATCTGGAAGGGTAAAGAGGTCTTTTCAAACATGTGGAAGTTATAGACATAAATTGTTAAATTTGATTTGTAAATGAAGTAAGTTAATTTGCAAATGCATATGTATTTTATTTTTGCTAATGCTAAGTCACATGGGCCCATAAATATGATATCCCCAGGCTACTTTTCATGCGAATTTGCCGCGAAAGAATGACACACAATGTCTGTGCCCCACGTGGAAGTTCGACATCAGCAGCGTCAAACAAATCTAATTGCCAATCTTGCGTAATCTTCCCGAGAATTTCACAGCAGTAATTTCATTCACTCAGAATTCTCCATAAAAATCCGATCTTTCCACTTGTTTCCCCCTGAAAAGAATCACAGTGAACACCAAACCAAAAAGAGCTTTTTTTTTGGAGAAAATAACAGAAGGTGAATTCTTCGCCAACTTCGTCGTTATTGTTGGTTTCATTCAGTAGCGGTCCTTTCGAAGCTTCAATCACACTCACTCTGTTACTGTGTCCCGCTGAAATTGCCAAACCGATTGCAACATACATACAGAGCAACCCACAAAGTTAGAAGATTGCTCGGGGAACCCCATAGGATTCTCTATTCAGTGAGTGAGGTGTTGAGGTAAGCGCAAAAAGTCGCTGGTTGATTTCTGCGTCTTGCTTTCATTGCTATTCAATTATCACCCTTCTTAATACGGCGATTACTTTCATCTTTTTCTTTAATTCGTGTCATCTGATTCTCAAAATTATAGGATTGCTTCTAAATCCATCTCATGGTTTGCTCTGTTTACTGCATTGGTTTTAATTTCCTTTTGCTGACCGCTGTCTATTTTATTTATTGTCATAATTTTGGTGTTTGACTTTCTGAGTATTGGAGTCTTCAGTCATATAGTATGGAGGCGTCTTCTTTTGTCATTAAGGGAAACACTTTAAGGGTTCAAAAGCCAAGCGTGTTTACTAGTAGAACTACTGTGAGGTCAAGAACCGTATGCATGACGAATATGAGGAACTGCTTCGGTTTAGGGGTTGGTCCGCTCACGATGGAAGCTGAACTGACAAGAGGTGTCCGCGGCATCTTTGGCTCATCGGCGAAACCCAGATTCATCAGGGTTCAGGCTTCCGGTTTGTCTGCTTCTGCTTTCTATGCTGTGTTTAATTTACTACTTAACATTACCTTTGATTTCTGAAATTTGCAAATTACAATTGTCTAAGTCATCCATCAGGTTAATGCAATCAAATATATTGACCATTAATGAAAAAGTAGTGTTTCGGAAGTCGAATCAGTATATTTCTGATTAGATCCGAATTGTTTTGTCATGGTGTTCGTGTTGTATTCTGTGCCTCTTGTTCTTGTCGATGCTCGTGCTTCTTAGGGCCATGTTTAGTTTGTTTGATGCCTTGCATGGTAGAGCTGCTTATTCAATCTTTAATTTCCGCAGTTCTGGTATGACCTGTTGCGGTTGTCAAGTCAGATAGGTATTTCAGCAAAAAAGTTTAATTAAAAAAGACTGGAAAAATTCTTAGTCAATCTGAATACCCCTTAGCTTTGTGATATGTTTTAGCATAATATAGATGATGCTTGCTGAGGCAGTGCTGCTCTGCCCATTTGCTATTTTCAATCCAGTTGGTGTATGAATGACTCTTGTAAGTTGAAAATTACAGTGTCTGCGAATTCGACATTTAAGAATAATGAACTCTTTGCGAATCATTGTTAGGATCCATGATAAGCCTGTTATTACTGACACACGTAGAAAGCCATGTGGCAGCAAACAAGGGCTGTTTATTATCTGTTTTTTATTTGTTTTTGAGCATTTTTATTGTCTAACAGCATTAGTTTTGCGTGCTGCATAAGTTAAGGAGTAGTGGAGTCAGTTATGAGTTTAGCATCTTATTTAAGATATTTGTTGAAGAAAAACATTTCAGGTTGCTATTCCCATTTTCTCAGTCTGTTAGCTAATGGGTCGGACATTTTAGAAGTCTGGTACATGTTAATTGAGTGAGATTCATGCTCAAGTTCTAGTATAGATTTATTTCCAGCATTTACCATATAATTTCTCCTAGCCCTCTAATCAATCTATAGTATTCTTCCATTGCAATTATTTTGTGTCTCTTAATACTATATTCACAATAAATATATTGTGAATTCGCTTATATTACATAAATCTGCTGTTGAAATCACATATGCATTGATTCTGAAAGCAGAGATGCTGGTAATTGCTTATACTTGTGTTATGTGTCATGATGTCAAAATAGTTTCTGTCACCTAAATATATAAACACTGCTTCTAGTACTGCTCCTATTTCCCTCATACACATGCTCTTACAACTGCAAGTAAAATTGAGTTGCAGATGGAGATATTGAGAATGTTGTTACAAATCCTCAGGGGAAATCTTCTGGAACTGTTTTACCATATGTTGGGGTTGCTTGTCTTGGAGCGATGTTGTTTGGTTATCATCTAGGGTATGAATATCTTCTTTCTAACTACCACGGAATTGAATGTATAGTTAATATATGATCATGTTTACCCTGAAACCTAAGTATTATAAATGACGTCAGCAGCCATTAGATGTGTTCAGTTATTGGCTGCATAACATATGGGTGTCTTTTGTGGAGTTATCCTTGTTATGCTACAGATTTCTATGGAATAGTACCCTATATCTGGGAAAATTCTGATGATGGTCGTTTTTGGTGCAGGGTGGTAAATGGTGCTCTTGAGTACTTAGCCAAAGATCTTGGAATCGCTGAAAACACTGCATTACAAGGTAGAAGGCTTTAACTTTTTATTAGGTACAACGGGATTTGAATTCATTGCATCAGCCAAAAATTTAAAAAAGAAAAAAAAGAAGGGAAAAGTTCATGCTTTTTTTTCCCCCCTCCCAACACAAAGCAAAATTTTCAGCACACTGTTGAATGTTATACTATTACGGATCTGTCTGTATTGATATTTACTGCAACGTTGAACAGAACATTTCTAATTTTTAAAGCTTGAGCTGAAATTTTTTTCCTTTTATTCCTGCTTTCCCTTTTTTTTTGGCCAACCTTATATTTCTGTCTTCTAAATCTATGTTTCTTATCTATAATATTCTTCCCTCAAAAGTCCAGTTTTATTGGAGTATGATCCATCTGTTGTTCTCTGTTGATTTTCTTGAATGTAAATTCTCTGAGTAGGATGGATTGTCAGCACGCTACTTGCTGGTGCCACTGTTGGTTCTTTTACGGGTGGAACATTGGCTGACAAATTTGGCAGAACTAGGACTTTTCAGTTAGATGCAATCCCTCTAACAATTGGAGCATTTCTTTGGTCTGTCAATTGTCCTTTGCTAAAAATTTGATGATTTATATGCCTATAGAAACTGATTCTCTGAAATATGATGTGTTTGTAGTGCTACGGCCCAGAGTGTTCAGACAATGATCATTGGCCGCTTGCTTGCTGGTATAGGAATTGGTGTTACATCTGCTATTGTGCCACTATACATATCTGAGGTTTTGCCTCTATAAATTAGTGAACTTTACAAAATTATGGTCATTTTCTCGTATTCCTTATTGACCCTGTGGTTACACTTTTTAATGGCAGATTTCACCAACTGAAATCCGTGGTGCACTTGGATCTATTAATCAACTTTTTATATGTATTGGGATTCTTGCAGCACTGGTGGCTGGATTGCCTCTTGCTGGAAATCCCATCTGGTATTCAGCTATTGCATCTATCCATCTTGTGAGCTGCTTATTTCTTCCAATAAGTGGTGATATGTATTTTTTTTTTGTGGGAGAAATAAATGTTGCGGCATTAAAAATGTTTTAATAGAAAAGAATTTTGCAAAAACTATATAATGGATTCTCCTAATTGTATTCAGAGCATGTATTGCAACATCGACTGACATTAATATCATTATTGTGAAGTGAGTAATTCAGCTCCTTCGGCTCTGCAGTGTACCTGAAGATCTCTTTTTTAGAGTTGTAGGTTGTGATCTCCCCACCATAATTGACATGCACAATGCAGCTCGTTGGAGAGCATAGGAATGTTGACTTGTTTTTTTAGATAAAAGTGTATTTGTGTGATCAAATTTCTCATATTGAAGTTTTGCAACTAAGTTTGACAACAGTTTGAAGTATTTATGAAGTAATACACCAATAACATGTATAACAAGCTAAATCTCAACTTGATAAGAGCTATATGACTTCTTACTTCTACATCTCAAAGACTGTTAACATTATAAACTGCCAATACAAAACTCGATTGCGGTGGATTCTGGACAGCTGCAGTCCTATGCACAGCTTTCTTTTCTTTTTCTAAATAGAAGACTGGTAACTTTAACTATTGTAATGTCCAGATGATCTTTAATATTTATTTCTGCTTGTTGGTCTAGAATCTTTTTCCTGTTTTGCAACTTGTCTCTCTTGTACTGAAGAAGGCAACAAACTTGCATTCTGTCTTCCATTGTGAATATCTTTTGGGTTTCCTATATTGACCTTCCATGAATGTTTCTTTACTTGCATCCTCTATACCCTCATTAATCATCATCATCATTGTAAAAGCAATTTATCTTGTCAGGTGGAGGACAATGTTTGGCATTGCAGCAGTTCCATCTATTCTGTTGGCACTAGGAATGGGATTTTCTCCAGAGAGTCCTCGTTGGCTGTTTCAGGTTTTCCTCTGATACTGTTCGGTCTTTTGTTTTCAACTATCAAGGCAATATGTTACATGAGGAGAAAATTGTATATTACAAAAATAACTGTTCAGAAGTTTCTATTCCAATGCCCTCAACAACACGTTTTCATGTATTCAATTGACAAATCCAACATGGGATTGCAATGTATATGTTGGTATTCTATATATTCTATATCATCTTATATAAAGATTGGAATTTATTCATCTAAGGTGCATCAAAATTGGGCTCATGAGAATATTCATTGTGGTGTGAGATTTGAATCCTATCCAACAGAATGTGTGTGCATGCATGATTGTAATCTTTTTAAGTCTTTTATGTATTTCCAATCAGGATTTTATGCTATCATTTCTTTTAGTTTTTGTTCTGCAAAACCAGATTTCTGAACAAATTACATTTATTAATTTACAGCAAGGAAAACTTGCTGAATCTGAAAAAGCTGTTGAAACACTATATGGAAAAGAAAGAGTTCCTGTGGTTATGCGTGACCTAGCAACTGGAAGTCAAGGTTCTTCTGAACCTGAAGCAGGATGGTTTGATCTCTTTTCTAGCCGATATTGGAAAGGTATTCTTGAAATTTTATGGAGACTTGTTATCTTCGGTTTGTACTTTATGCACCTGAAACATCTTGTAGCCATTCGGTACACTATTATCTCACATTCCTTGATATCTTGGATACTGTGGTATTTATGATTCCCATTTTTGCGATGATAATCGAATATTTTCATAAGAAGGATACAATCAGTAGTTACAAAAGGGGAAAAAATTAAAAGTAGGTTCATGTAAGAACTCCAGGGTTTTTGGGTGATACAAAAGAACCCAAAATCGGTGTCACCCTACAGCTTTAATTATAATGGATGCCACTAGGCATCTTGATAACAGCGTATGAAATGCTTATCTTGTGTATTTATGTGTGATTCATGCTGTGCTAACTTGCGTTAATATATGCCTGCACTTTGAAGGTCATGATCGTACTTTTTGCATGTCTGAAGAATGTTCACATGATGGATGGTATAATATAAATTACCATTTTTGTTGTTGTGACAATTTTACCGACATGTAATTTGGGGAAGTCAATTTGCTTGTTCCGACCTGGCTAATGCTTCAAATTTGATAATTTATGGGACCTTTTACAATTTTCTATTATTTGAGGCCTTCCCCACTCAACGAGTTATATATTAACATTGATTTTGACATGAGCTGTATGGTTAAATATCACTCCCCAACTTAATGTTGATTTATCCTACGGTTGATTTGTGCTCTTAATATGTATCGGTGTAACATTTCTGAATTGTCTGAATGCAGTTGTCAGTGTTGGGGCAGCACTTTTCTTGTTCCAACAGTTGGCTGGAATCAATGCTGTGGTATATTATTCTACTTCTGTGTTCCGGAGTGCTGGAATTGCTTCTGATGTTGCCGCCAGCGCTCTGGTTGGTGCAGCTAATGTTTTTGGTTAGTATTGATTTTTCAAATAATATGATCACTGTGCAATATGCACCCATATGATGCTTTTTGTGACCGTTGTTTGATTTCATTGCAGGCACAGCCGTTGCTTCATCCTTGATGGACAAACAAGGACGGAAAAGTCTTCTTATGACGAGCTTTGGTGGAATGGTAATAATTAGTTTTAACATGAATCGTAGACCTAAAGCAGATGAACATGAGATATTTTATGCTGTATTACTACATATTTTGAATTAAAATCTTGAAATTCAAAAGTTCCCCCTGTTTAAATGAGATAGACTTAACTAGACAAAAGGACCTAAATTAAAACACTTAACCGAAAACTGTAAAATATTATTATCAACCTAATACAGTGCTAGTAATAATATACATTTCGACGAGTGCGAAACTACCCATGTGTTTCGTCCTTCAACTCAGTCTGAATTTCAGAAGGTCTACGTAACAAAATATAAATGGAGCTGGTAACAACTTTCTCAGGTCAAGTATTATACACTTAATACTGTAAAGCAGTTTCAGCAAAGGAAACATGTTCATTGTACCATGTGCTGATATGCTTTTCACACTTGAACATTCTATTTGTTTCCGGCCCATTGTAACGTACAATGGGGATAAGTTTCAGATGTTAAAATATGAACCAAGAAAGCTACTTGACACGTGATCTCTGGCAAGGGGTTTGGGTGGTTTGTTGGAAGCCTTGGTTTGAAATTGTTGGGCTAGCATACCTGATGGCCGCATTACTAATAATACTATGGTGTATGGTAGGAGTGTAGTTGAGCTTGTACCTGATGATCCAGTCATAGCTATGGCCTACTGGCTGATGATATTCTGAGCTATTCCCCTGGAGGAAAAAGGTGTGAGGTAGCAGGAACGGAAAAACAGGAATTGACACCACAGATAGCTGTCTGGCTGATTGGGCTTTGGTGTGCTGGAAGAGAGGGAAGCAGGGGTTTAGAGCATGAGAAAGGGTGTGAAGTGGGATGGGCTGGGTTTGAAGCCTTTGAACATAGTAAAGTCTCATGTATCTTCAAGCAAATTTCATCAGATGCCTCTTTTTCCTATAATGAAAAAATTCATGTGCCAACCTATGTTTAATATATTTTTTAATTTTTCAGATCTTATTGCTTTTTTGTGATAATTAATTACATTTTTAGTATAATTGATCATATGTTCCTGAATTTTCCAGTATCTTATTTTCATATATAACTAACTGCTCTCTCTCTCACGCCCACACCCAGGCTGCTTCTATGTTGCTTCTTTCTGTGTCTTTTACTTGGAATGTCCTTGCACCATATTCTGGCACACTTGCTGTCCTTGGAACTGTTCTGTAAGTTATTTATTTTTGTCAGTAATGGTTTTTTCTTCTCATTGAACCGATCAAACCTCAATTATTTTAATCTTTTTAATATATTTTTTTGGCTGTTCATTTCTTTTGACTCTGTGGTCTATGGATTTTAAACAGCTATGTCTTATCCTTCTCTCTTGGTGCTGGTCCCGTGCCTGGCCTTCTTCTACCTGAAATATTTGCTTCCAGAATAAGAGCAAAAGCGGTTGCTTTGTCGTTTGGCATGCATTGGGTGAGTTAGTTATTTCTAGAGTAACAAGTGTACCTCTATTTATTGCCCTCATCTTGCTTTAAAAATCCTTTTTCTTTGCTTAATTACTAGATAGAATACAGGATCAAACCGATGACCTGTCACCAATGAGGGCGAGTGATATGCTGCTAGGCCACAAAGCTATCGGCATTTTAAATAGAAATACTTTCTCAAAAGGATAAATGAGTTAAAATTTCATAAAGTAACCAAGAACTAGTTACCACTGAGATTACCATGAATACAAATTACTGCTTCGTAAAGTTTATAAAAAGCAAAAAGGTTGGGGAGGGGGAGTGGGACCCTGCCTAATTAAAAAAGTGGTGTATGAACTTTAAAACATAACACAACCAGGTTATGCAACTTGGATTCAAATAAAAACATTGAATCTCAGTATATGCTTGCCTTTACTGCTTGAATCTTCCCCATCTCTTTCCTGCATGAAGTTTAGCTGCAGCATAAATTTTGCGCCTACACTGATTATATTGCTTGCCTAAGAATTTTGTTAATCATGAAACTGAATTTTCTATCTTATCAGATCTCCAACTTCGCCATCGGCCTCTTTTTCTTGAGTGTTGTGAACAAATTTGGTATCAGCTCTGTATACTTAGGGTTTGCAGCCGTCTGTCTTCTTGCTGTCATGTACATAGCTGGCAATGTTGTCGAAACAAAGGGTCGATCACTGGAGGAAATAGAACGAGCTCTTAATCCATCAATTTAAGAACTTCCCCAGATTTTCATCTTATCAGAGTCTAAATGCTGCACATGGACTTTTTCGGCAACTCCCTTTGCTCCGCAGGATAACCATTGGTCTGCCATTAGTGATTGCCAGAGGCTAACTCAAGATTATGCCACAGTTTTGCTCGTGGAAATAACAGAACCATCCATTGTCAACTTTGGTGAGCATCTATGTTAATGGTCACAATTTTATGTTTAATAGATATTAGCCAGCGAGAACATTCTCACTTCTATTGGCAGATTGAACAACTAGAGTGTCCCGCTTCAAAGTTGTGAATTATAATTATGCTTGCATGTGTGATTTACCCTTCATAATAATGAAAGCGTTGTGATTTTGAAAATAACAAGACTCTAAGCATAGATTGTTTGTTAACCCTTTTTGTTTTGTTTTGTTTCTTGGGTGGGGGTTAAACTGACATAACGACTTCTCTCTTAGAGGACCTGATATAAATAGGTATCTCTATGCCACTTATCCTTGACGATATCTTTGAAGTCTCCTTTTTCAATGCACACTATAACAGTGTACGTGAGTTATATTGCACAGTAAAGGACTGGAACTTTAATTTTCTGGGAACAATTCACGCTGGAAATGTTTGGAGTCGAATAAGCAAATGAACTTGTTGATAACCTGGAAAGGTGAAGCTCACCTCTAGAGGTGGTAATATGAGTCTGAGGGTCCAACCCACCAAAAGGTGACTGGTTGGGTTTGCAAAATGGAAGCCTGTTTTGAGGCAGGTATTTTCAGCTGACAGCTTTAATTGAAAAATTAAAAAAAATATTACAGCAAATTAAAAAAAAAAAAAAAAGAGTTGGGTTGGCGGGCCTGCCAATTCATCTTATGACAAGTTCGGGTTGGCTAAATGACAGCCTATCTTAGATCTTAAAAGCATGCTTCTTGACTCACTAAAACTGCAACTTGCTGCAAGCCAACTTGCAATATGCAGTTGGTTTGCATTATCAGTTCTTGCTTGGATGCGCAGGTGTCGTTGGTCCACTGTAATTAGAGGGAAGACTACAAAAAGCGCACACGCACAAGATGTGAAAGTGATAGTGGTAATTAGCTTCAATGATGACATTACGAAGATAGGGTTCACAGAAGATGACACTGGAAAGTAGAAACTAGTAGGTATTAATTAAAGTGGCGAAATGCAAAATTCGTATCAAGTCAAATCATAAATGATGCGAATCATTTTTCAACCTCTATATAATGAATGGAAGTTTCATTTGGTTTGATCAAAGTATGACTGCCTCATACGCCAAGTGAGATTAAAGAAATTTCTCAGACGTCCCATATTTCCACTCTCTGCTCATTTATTCGGTAGTAATTATCTCTATGTGGATTGTTAGGTCATGGTTGGGATCTGTTTGGCGGCTACTGCGCGTAGCAGCAGTAAGAATGGTATCAACAGTAACTTTTTCTTTTCGTCTACCAGCAGTGACATCCACTTTATAGGAAAGGACAAAACACAAATTAGTGGAGGAAAACCGGTAACTTGCTCTGCACTCCCTAATGTCCTAGCGTAGAAGTTTGGTGATTCATTTACAGATATTTTTAAAAAAATTAATTAAGTTAATTATTAATAAAATAAAGTATGTTGATTTTTCTCAAATAACATTTTAATAATTTGTATTGGGAATTACTTCTCGATGGAAAATCCTCCTAATATGTGCAATTAATAAAAAGAGTTCAGTTCGGCAAGTTGCTCTAATGCTAATAACGCGAGAGCCATATTTGGACGACGTTGACATATTTGTATATGTAAATGTGTTTAATCGTATAAAATCAAAAAATCAAAGAGAGTTTAGGGGAAAAATTATAAATGTGGAAAAGAAAGCAGATTAGGATTTGTCTTACATTTATGATTAAAATAAATTATTTTATTAACTCTTATATTTATAACCGAGTGTTAGGGGCAAAAAAATTATTCCTTTTCTTTTCTTTTCTTTTCTTTTTGACCCTTTTAGTCCCCTCGTTTTGCTTCTTCCTCGCTGGGGCAAGCTGTCACATGCTTCTCAATCACAATTTTTCTGTACAAATTTGACCAAACTATACCTTATTTTTGAAGATTCAGACGAGGATGAAGAACATAGCTTCTCACTTCACACCACACTATAAAACAACTATAATTACTTGTGATTGTGGCTCTGCGAAGTCAAGTCAAATAACTTGTGAATTGAGATATTTGGACGACTATTTGAAATCAAATTAGGCCAAGTCTCAGACCAATAGGTAGATAACATGTGTGTCTGTGTGTGTAATTGTATATAGTTATATATATATTTATATATTTATATACACACACTAGTATAAAAGAAAGTCAGGTTTCAGACCGAGAAGCAATTCAGTGGGGTTAACGTTAAGTGAAAGAATAACTATGAAATTTGCATATTCAATTGCGTCGCTCTTGGGTTGCTTTAAACCGTAATTAGAGGAGCTAACACGTGAAACTTAGTAATTAGCTCCGATTTTTCCGATAATATAGTAAGTCAAGTGAATTAGGCTTATTCAATAATTATTATGGTCTCCATACTCCCAAAGCAAACCACTTCCCAGTTACGTACCTACCTTCCTATTCACTAACTTTTAATTTAATTTATCATTTAAATTGCTTAGACGCATATGACATACATATCTACTCTTGAAATCTATCAACTCTATATATCTTTTAAAAATTCAATTAGTATATATTTATATAAATATATATATTATATAACCTTCATTTATGATTTAAATTCAAATCAATTTTTTTTTACAAAATGCAATTATAAAAAGAGTGACACAAGAAAATTAAAGTTATATGGAGTAGAAATTTACTCTCCGATTATCCTTTCTTTTTCTAATCTCCCCATACATTTCTAATTCGGCTGATTTATATCCGATAAGAAGTGGATTTAAGAAGAGGTAGTAAGAATATATCGTAGGCGTAAATTTCTAACTCATGGAAAATTAACGAAAAGTTCCCTTTTCGTTGATGCAGTGTGTAATGTTTGTTTAATTGCAAATGGATGATTATGCCTGATTCTTATATTATAAAAATGGAATAAATATTTTGCACGTATATATTGACCTCTTCACTCCAATCAACATCAATGAGAAAGAAGCTAACAAGTTGCTGTATGTTAATCTTTTTCGGTTCTCTATTATTGTTTCTTGACCAGAACAAATGAAGAAGGAAACAAGTCTGCTGGAATTGAAACAATTAAAGAAAGCTAGTCCTCCATAACTTGAGCTCAAAGTGTTCTCACAAATCCCTTTTGAAACTTATATATAAGAATATCACTCTCTGCTCTCTTTCCCTATTTGTGAGCGATCAAGAAATAGTTAACAATTATGGAGCATAACCCATTTCTCAGGATTCCCAAACCATCCAATATTGTTCATCTGCGTCTAAACCTAAACCTTTTCTATCACTTTGTCTTCTTCATTGTTGGTATCTCACTAGGAACAGTAGTCACTTTGTATTTCAAAACCTTTTCTTTTCATTTACAGTACTTTCTTTACCATGTAAATCCAGCCTCCTCAGAACCACCGTACCGGCCACAGGCTCCGACACTAGCCCCACCGTCGACACAGCCGGAACAAAACCTATTAATGTCCGGCACAAGTATCATCAGAAGTACAACGAAGGTGTCTCTCATGCATAATATGACAGACCAAGAGTTGTTCTCGGAAGCAATTAAGGTACAAGGAATGAAGCAGGATGATGATTTTAAGAAGAAAAACCCTAAAGTGGCTTTCATGTTCCTAGCAAAAGGTTCACTGCCACTGGGACCCTTATGGGAGAGATTCTTCAAAGGCCATGAAGGCTTCTACAACATCTACTTACATCAGCATCCTTCTTTCAATAAAACTCTCCCTGAAGATTCTGTCTTCTTTGGCAGAAGAATCCCTAGCCAGGTTAGCAATATATACAATACAATTACTTTTATATATTTACACAGATTCAACTACCAACCTTTTTTACCTCATTACAGTAAGGATAGTGACTGTAATTTCCCCCAATATATGCATCTATCCTGTTAGAATGAATGAAGGAAAACGAGAAGAACCCAAAAATGTACTCCTTCGTTCCTACATATATATGGAGAAGATATAATTTTTAGGTGGGCACTGCTTTATTTAAAGATACACCTAAAAGGATGCCTGAAATTTTAACTAACATTTTTTTATTTTAACCCCAATTAGTTACATGCTATTTCACTTTAGTAATTACCTCTTTTTCTTATTTCCTCATTCTATTACTCTCTTTCCACCAAAAAAAATTATTTTTGAAATATAAAATATATTTTTCAGTTGACTTCCTTTAACCAATTTTTTTATCCAAGTAATTCAATTATTTGTGTCTTATATATAAGATTGAATGTTGTATTTTACTATATTCTCCACTTGTCTTTAAGTGATATCCACATAGGAGAGTATCTAGTGAGATGATCTTTGAAATATAATATAATGTTGTCTTCAATTTGCAGCCAGTTTTTTGGGGAACTTCAACAATGATAGATGCAGAAAGGCGTCTTGTAGCAAATGCGCTCTTTGATGACATCTCAAACCAACGCTTTGTTCTTCTTTCAGAATCCTGCATCCCTCTTTTCAACTTCAAAACTATATACAACTATCTCATCAACTCATCTCGCTCCTTCTTAAGCACTTTTGACGACCCCAGAAAGCCAGGTCGGGGACGATACAACCCTAAAATGTCACCCATGATCAACATTACCAATTGGCGAAAAGGGTCTCAATGGTTTGAACTCCATCGTGATCTTGCAATCAAACTTGTCTCTGATACCACTTATTACCCTATCTTTCAGGAACTATGTCGTCCACCTTGTTACATGGACGAGCATTATATACCAACGTTTGTGCATATGAAGTATGATAAAATGAACTCTAAACGTAGTATTACATGGGTTGATTGGTCGAGGGGTGGCCCACATCCAGGAAGATTTGGATGGGGAGATATTACAGACGAGTTCTTGAATCGAATTAGGTATGGAGGCCATTGCACTTATAACGGTAATGTCACCAATGTGTGCTTTCTTTTTGCGAGAAAGTTTATGCCAAATGCATTGGAGCCTTTGTTGAGAATCGCTCCTCTTTTGCTTGGCTTTGATCCTTAGATTATGTTCCTTTGATTCGTTGCCATTTTCATAATTTTATATTCTTTCACCTTTATTCTTTTTCTTCTTTTCTTCCCTAATAAAAATTTAGAAAAGTTGGATGTGCAAAAGTGCAGAAGTTTAATAAATAATTCAAAGCTAAAAAGTAGAAGAAAAGTAAAGAGATCGGTTGGGAAAATCCAATTAATTTTCAATGTAATTTTTTGGCCTGATATATTTTCAACGTGATTGAGAGGTCATAACTTTTAATTCCACGTGTGAAATTATTTAGAAAAATTTCCTACTTTTAGTGTAATCACTTGATGATTTAGGTAATTTAATTGAGAAAAGAATAACAGACAACAATTTTTTTACCAACAAATTAGTTGCTTAACTTTGAGTATTCTTAATTGTTTAATAAACGGAACCAATAACTAATTCGCTGATCAAAGAAAAGAACCGATAAGTAATTCATGATTGATTGTGTTTCACTTTAATATAAAACCCAATGTGTAAGAGTTCTTTTTTCAGCCGCGAATATATAAAAGTCAAAAATCAAAAAGTTGTTAAAATAGGATTTGAATATCCTCAATCATGCCTTCATTATCAACCAACCATTAGATTGTGATCTGACGGTGTTGAGGGAGGAGTTACTTACAATTAAAAACTTCTGATTTTTTAAATAATAGATTTGTAACTCTTCCTAGATCACAGTATATAGTGACTAATATCTCTTAATTGAAGTTCAATTAAGATTTAATTTTTTCAGTTGAGAGATCCAAATTTATTAAAGAATTACATATACTTACAAGCTGAATGAAGTAAAGAAAAGATAAAATAAAATAACAGCTGTAATTAAATACCTCCCAATCATCCTCGTGTATGTTCGTGAAAATACTTATCTTTTTTTTTTTATATAAAGAATGTTTTTTATTTTCCTTTTCATTTCAGTGAAAAATACGCATTTGTATTACTGTCTCGCCGCATATTTGGGCTTTTTGCTTGTAAAGAAAATATCATACCTCAATCAAGGAGAGATTGATGGAAAACACTATTCTTGTCCTCAATCAATTCTGTGCCTATGATCTTTTCCTTCACATTTGAATTGTTTGATGACACAAATAGGTTGGGTCTAGTAAAAAAAAAAAATCTATTCCCTCGTAATATGGCCAATTATGATTAGAATTATTGTTGGGAGAAATATCTATATTTAATGCTCAACAATATCTCGAATAGAATTACTTCTAATAAAATGATAGATATAATTTGCAAGTCGACTGTTATCAAAATGTTTTAAAAGTGTTGTAATAAATTCTGGTATGAGATTTTGTAATTTTTATGATCTTTATGTGTCATTTTTCCTATTTAAATGGAGTTGACTTCTCTCCATATCACATTTTTTCAATAGAACTTGATCATCATTCGGCGTCTCTTCGACAAAAAAGAAGGTGCTTGATCAAAAGTGCAAAAAGATCCCACTACATCGTGGGAATACTTAGCTAAATGATCCACTAACAAAACATCATCCCTAAAACACATGATTGATTTGGACCTTCCACTCCTTGTGAATCACAAGCCTAATATCATTGGTATTACTCCTCCGGTCCTTAATATAGGATTTAATTGTTGAGTTCATTTTAGTCCTAAATATAAGACCTATTTTTTTATATTTATCGATTTTTGCTAAATTACCCCTATTGATCTCCCTTAACCATAACCAAATAGAAGAAGGAGAGAGGATATTAAGAAAAATAATTATGGTATTTTAGAAAAACATATCATATTTTTTATGATTAACTAACTTACCTAACTTCATTAATCTAATCAAATTAATTAAATAGGTCTTATATTAAAAACATGAGAAGTATCACTATAAGGATAAACAACATCACACCCTCTTGTTGCAAAGTCTATAGCCTCAATGCAATCATAAGCAAGAATAATGTCTCGAAATCCTTTACTCCAACACATACGAAGTCCATGTAGCTTGGCTCGAAGTTCTGCAATTGCAGCAGGAACCATCGTTAGTTTACCAAAAAAACCCACAAATCCAATTGCCTTCCCCGTGATGATCATTTTCCATGCCATGTCGGAGAGAACATTTTCTCATGAGATCTAAACCGGCATCTTGCATGTTCATCTCAGCCTCTACAAGCTCTCAATTTCCATATCATATTTCAACTATTAGATATGATCAGATATTTTTTTAATAGTTGAAATTTAATATTTTACTATTCCTTTTTTATAAATTTTAAAGTAATGCTCCGATTAAATATTTTAATAGTTTGAATTTATTTATTCTTTATGATTTTGTATCTTAATCATAACAATTTCATTTGTTAACTTTTTAGTTTGAAAAGAGAAAACTTTTAGATAAGTAAAAAAGAGGATTTCCCAATTCATCTGGACAAATTGATAGAAAGCCCAAGTCGAATTGGGATTGGTAAAAAAGAGAAAGCCCAAGTCGAATTGGGATTGGATCAGAGAAAGGCCCAAATTGTTTTATGTAAAACTATCTTGGGGTTGGAAACTCTGAGGACGAAACTACCCCGGTATATAATAATTCTCGGACAGAAGTACCCTCGCAATTTTGCGCCAAATTAACCATAACACTTTTCTGTTCTCACTCTCATCGACCTCCGTCGCCGTCGAAGCTCTCCCCTCTCGATTCTCATCAGTTCGAGAAGCAAGTCGCAGTCTCGCTGGTAAGGTGGTCGACCCTCGCTCGATTCTTTTTCTCCTATTGATTGAGACTCTGTTAGGTTAGCGTATTGATCCTGTTCATTACCCTCTCCTCCGCCGCTAATTCCCGTATCTCTTATAATATAGACGGGATGGAGTGATTAGAGGTCGCGGGAGAAATGGATAACAGTTGAACCAGAGGATTGTTAGAAATTATTTTCTAAAGTCTTAAGCATCTCTGATAATGGTTTTGCAAATCGGACTTCGTACTTTACGCCTCGCCCGAGCGCTATGTATGACTTTGTAACTGCTATACCTGCTTATTATCGTCCTGCCACTGGCTAAATAGTTTAATGTGCCCAGTTCCCTGACTTTTGTGTATGCTCAGAACTCGCATATGTTTGTATCCATAGCATTTGATTCTATATTTTTGTTTTCAGAGGGGTCTCTGTCTCCTATATTTATTATACGCGGCTGAACTCAGTATACTTGCATACGTTAAACTGAATTATTTTATATCTCTGTATAATTGGTTGCACAGCTATGGCACTATCTGAAGAAAAGGGAGTACTATTGCGATTGTCGTGTTGGTGGATGAGCATGGCTGAGGCAGTGTGTAGGTTTTATTTTTGCGCGTGCATAGCTATCTTGTTAAGGAGGCGACGACGAAGACGGGGTCTAATTGAACAGGCTCCGTCAAATGCAAGTTCAGGGCTCAGAAAGCGAAAGCGAAACAGCATTGATGGTGATGACTTGCTACTCGAAGGCGTGGAGAAGATTGCTCATACATTAATTGAAAGCCTCAAGGAGGCAAGTGAGCGTCTGGGAATGCATATAGGTAGGGTTGAACGTGAGAAGCGCATGGATGCCATGAAGGAGTCTCTCTTTGTTGATCTTATGAAGGTTGAAGGACTTTCCAACCAAGAGCGTGTTTCAGCTTATGTCAAGATGATTTCTGATGAGAGCATGCTGATTGGATTTTATGCCATACCTCAAGAGGGAAAAACCGATGTGATCCGCTATTATTTGTGTGACTGAATATATTGATGTGTGATTTTTTGTCAGATATAGGGAATATCTTACTTGGGTGCTTCGATGCATTGAGCAGCACCAGTAACTCAATCTTGATTTTGAGTAAGATATTGGGGTATCTTGCATAACTGAACTTATATGCAGAATTAACTTGTATATTTGCAGAATGAAGATGAATTGTCATTTGCTTTTGGTTTCAATCTTTTGACTGGAAGAGTTCTCAAATACTCTTTATTGACTGTCAAGATGCTGGATATGAATAAGTGTTTTTGCTAAGCCTGAAAATTAGTTGCTGTAACAGTTCTGAGCAAGCGCTGTATATATGGCTATAACTGGTTTTGTCTTTTGTTATGTATGTAGTTGCTGTAACTGATTTGTGTACTTCTTTAGTTATGTAGTTTCTGTGACTGGTTTTGTCTACTTCTTTTGTTATGGTTGTCTGTAATTTACAGGAGTTAGCTAGGACTTAGACTTAATTCTAAACATATAAGAACTTAACTCGCTTTATTTTCCGTATTTATCATTTTTTTCCGATTAATTTATCTAATTTATGAGCTTATATGTAAGTATGTCTCACATTACATAAAAATATCTCAGGGAGATTATGTCATGTTTATTATAATAAACTAATTTATCTAACTTTCTCAAACTATTCAAATTAGTTGAGTAGTAGTTATATTAAGAACCAAAACAAGTATAATTAACCAGCTCCCCTGGCTTTATTGTGATTAATTAAGCAGCTTCCCTGGTTTTATTGTGATTATGTAACTGGTTTTGTTTACTTCTTGTAATATTATTTTCGGCTCTTAATATAAAATATATTTGATAATTCAATTTGAATTACAAGCTAGGTCTTATGTTAAGAATACTATTTCACACTAGTTGTGCTCTTTTTGTTACTGTCATGAATCTTTGTCTTTTGAACTTTCAGGACAACGCAACAGGAAAATATAAGCGGGTGTCATTTTGGCAGTATCACGATTCAATTTCTCGGAGTTCTCAAATTAATTGCTGCAGTAGGTGCTCTTTTGCTCATTCATTCTAAATATGGCAACTATGCTGAATTTTTTTTAGTAGACAAAAATTTAAGTGAGTTGGGTCTCAGGAACTTCTCAGGATTAAGGCATATCTTCAAACTTATAAAGTACCTACAAAGATACCTACAGATTGCTATTAACAAGATGTTCATATCAATAACAGGATTTGGACTCACGAACTTGTGGGTTATAAACTGATTCCTTACCAACTAAACCAATTCTTGTTGGTGACAATTTATTTTAATTCTGAATATAAGATTTCAATTTATTTTATTTCTTAAATGTACAATTCTTTCATTAAAGTATTTTTTATTGATTTCACATAGTAAGGAAAACAAGTTTGGGCCCTCATCAGAGTGATGAGCACCCCAACCTCAAGATTTGAACCATCTGTATTTGATTCATACGGTCCGGATTTTTTCTTTTTAATTTTTTTAAGACAATCATTTTATAGGGTATGAAATTTAAAATAAAAATAATTTCTTAACTATCATTTTTTTAAAAAAATATGTTTTTGTTTAAAAATAATTAATTAAAATTTTAAAATTTGGATGGTTCATATCTAATTTGAATAGTTCAAATATGAGCACCTAGACTTGTTTTATACTACCCCGATCCTAATTATAAGAGCCAGTTGACTAATTTGAAGAGATTAAAGAAGTAAGTTGAGTTAGTTATTTATTTTAAATAGGTGTTGTTTTTCCTAAAATATTCTTGCTAATCAAGTGTATTAACTAGAAATATAATTATTAGAAAGATTATTTTGGAAAAAATTGAGTAAATATGAGAGACAAAGTAGATTGGGGTCTTATATTAAGGATCAAAATAAAAGTCAAACAGGATCTTAAATTAAGAACCGGAAGTAGTAGTAAATGTTGTTTTTATTAAGGGATGGTTATAATGATTGGATACCAATATATATTTATTATAAATTACTAACTTAATTAATTTTTTTAATATTTAAAAATTAATTATCTATTTTTTAGGTTTTGGTCTGTATTATAACCGTATTCCACGATATCGCAAAAAGATTCGAGAGATGGAATTCACACTGGCGAGCTTGTTTCTATATTTTTGGGGCAGGAGATGTTTTTTAATATATAATTAAATTTCTTCATTTGAAACCTCATGATAATTTTTTCCTTTTTTAATGATTTATAAATAATGTTAGTGGTTATAAATTTTATATGTTATATGAATATATTTATGTATCAATATTTTTACACCCACATCTTTTAAATTAGAGATACTCAAGTGGGGATCGAAGAGGAGTGGTCCAAATCAAATAAACTACAAAATACAAATTACTGAATACCTTAACAAATGGGGCCGTACGTCCCCCGTTGGATTAAGGTGAAAAAGGTCAAAGAACCTAAATAATGATGAGAATGAAATTAACTGATGAGTAGGGCAAGGAAAAGAACATAGACGTATAGAAAACGCAACTGGGTTTACAGTACAATTTTAAATTAATTTATAGATTACAAATATATATAATAATTTTTCTTCTTCTTTTTTTTTGGGATCAAATCTATATAAGCTGGCTAATTATAATTAATCCGCGAAGAATTTGGGATATCTCTTTTATAATACTTACGTTCAATTCTTTATATTCATATGTTTTATTTTTAAAATATTAACATTTAATAACATTTAATTATAAATTCATATGAAACAAAAAAATACACATATGTGATAGGAGAATTTGATATAATGAATAAAAGAAACTTGACTAAGTTTTTTTTTACTTTCTAAAAATCCTCCGACTATTTAATCTTATATCTGTGAGTCTATGAAGTATTTGTTTAGTATTGACAACTCCTTAATCATCATCTTTTGATCTAAAAAATTGACAGATTCTAGTAGTGCTTTTTATTTAAAACATCCAATTTGAATTCTCATTAATATTTCCTTTGATTTCATTATCTTGTTGTATAACTAACCCCAAATATTAGAATGTTGCCATTTGAGAAATGGTTTGGTATCTCATTTTAACTTTCAAATAATTTCTAATTTACCTCTTATAAAAATAATATAATTAAAGTATACAAAAATATTCATAAAATAAACATTTAAATAAAAAAGTACCGATCCACAAATAAACGGATAATTTATATTTAAATCACATATAATTAATAAAAATTTATTAAATAATTAATATGTTTTTTTGCTAAAGCATAGGTATTCTCCTATTAGAGATAATCCTATTCGAGACACTATTGGATACTAAATACGAATACCTCTCTCAATGAAAATTCGATCTTTGGTTTATTATGTTGTGAGGAACTAATCCCTTCATTTTTGTAAGTTGACCCCAAAAAAAAAAAGTAATTGTTTATTTCCTTGTTTTGGCACTGAAATGTGATTGTCCATTTCATTATGGAAATTTTTCAAGTCATTTTCCCAATTACAAATTCACATAATCTCAGGTCAAAAAAAAAAATTCACATAATCACATGCAGGGACCACTTCTCTGATCTGTCATATATCACTGAAGGGAAAAAAAAAAAAAGTAGTGGGTCCCAAACTCCCTAGTCACACATGCTCAATCCATAAATTAGAGAATCTTTCCCCCTTTCATTATATCCCGTGACTCCCATTTTAGATCTCTCCCGCCCTTTTTAAGTTAAAAATATTATTAAAATTATACTTACAAATTAAATTCCATGTAATTTTACTTTATTTGGTTTTTTTTGCCATCATTTGCTTTATTTGGTTAAAACTATAACATTTAATCGTAAGTAAGATTTATCTTTAGTTTTATTTATTTTAATATTTTACTAAATATCTCTTATTAAGTTGTACAAATAGTTTTTTTAAGTTTTAACTAGTAAAATAAATTAAAGATATCACAGGCGACGAAGTTATAATTACACGTAACTATGCGATACTTTTCATTTAAAAATAGTTTTTATGTTGTAGAGATATATATATATATATATATATATATATATATATATATATATAACTCGCCCTAAAAATCCTAAGAAACAAAATTTAAAAATTCCACTGTATTTTGATTTAAATAAATTTTCGAGTGGTTCCTCTTTTTCTTTTTTTTTAACCTTGTATTTCTCCTGGACAAACATTCATATGTTAGAAACATATGTTAAATTAAATTGATTTTATTATTATCGTATAAATTATTAAATTTAAAAAAAATAATGAAAGCGAACTTTTTAAAAAGTATATATCGGTTTTGTCATACATACAACTGAACTGTTATTTTAGAACCTTTTGACCAAAAAGAACTGTTATTTTAGAACATAACTTCACCTCTTGATTGTTGCCCAAAAAAACTAGAAGTTTATACATTTCAGACCAAGCAACAAAATTTTTCTTTTTTTATCGATTAAAGGCTTGCTTGGATCTTCAATGCATAAACACTTAAATTGAAACAAAACTCTTTTTATATACTTATATCATATTTTATAAATTATTATTAAAAAGTTATTTTTAAGACATTCTAAACAAGCCAAGTGTTTGTTTGGAGTTTCTTATCATAACCATATTTATATAAGTTAAGACAAAATTCCTCACACATATTTATATAGTCATAATTAAAAAATTTCTTTTAAAGATTTCAATCACCATTCTAAGCAAGACATAAAAGTAGTACTTAATCAGGTAATTTATCATGTAAATATCTTTAATATTCATCATATTCTCCAAATTTTTTCCCTTGTGGTCTTGCAGTTTGATACAACAAATTAATATTACCTCTGATCTTTAATATAAAAATTAGATAACTAATTAAAAAAATTAATTAAGTTAGTTATTTGTTACAAATATATGTTGATCTCTCTAAACTATTCTCTTTAATCATGTGCATTTGATGATTAAAGTTATTCTTTTGTGAGAACCCTTTATAATTAATACGGATATTTTAGAAAAAATGATAAATAAAATAGACTGATATTTTATATTTATATTTATGGCCAAATTCAATTTCAACACTAACTTTTATGTTAAAGTGGCACGGCGCTAACGAGAACGACTCATTCTGGTCACATTCAAGTAGAATTTACTTAATATTTTTTTTAATCATTATAATTTTAAGGGCACTATAAAAAAGAATATAAATTTGCTGCTTCAGTATTTTTTCAGTCATTCTCAAATATTGACATATTATGTTTAATTTTTAAAATAGTTATTATTATAAAGAATGACATTTAAGACTAACAATATTAAGATTATAGGACTGAAAAAGATACTTTTCAGTTTTTCAAATTAAAAAATAAATAAAAA